ACTACTTTTGATTTTCCCTCCACATTTTACCTTTAAAAACTATTTACTTTGCCCTGTTTGGTATCATTCTTTTCAGCACAACCTCACGTGTCTGAATTTACAGTTTTCATTTTGACACACTGTACTAACACAACTGATCTAAAATCAGACAAAAAACATAAAATCCGAGTAGAAAAGGTTTTATTTTTACTGTAACAACCACAAACATGTTTAATGAATCATATTTCATAACTTTAAATACAAATATAAATTGTCAATTTTAAAATCATATGCATGTTTTGCAAACAAAGTTATTTGCATCCATTAACTTTTTACCCTTGTTAAAATAACCATTTCAAACTATTTACAGAACAATCAGCTGTTCTGCATTCAATAAGATGCCACACAAATTATTTGTGCCACTCCAAAAAATAATTTCTGTCCACTGTAAAGGAGAACATCACAGCCTGCAGGTCTGTATCACTCCTCCTGTTTCTACCTGGAGACAGCAGTTGCCTCATTGTTCTGACACACAACACAAAACTATCTACAACACTACACACTAACTACACAAGACAACACATTAACTACACACTCCAAACACGCTAAACGTCACAAATCTCTCACATCTCAAAACACAATTTAAAAACTGGTATATATCACCTTGTTGCTTTGTCTTTAAGTGATCATGTGACTGGCCGACTACTTTATTCTTCCTCAGTCAAACAGCAGCACTCATGCGACTGTTTTGCCCCCTGAGCTCCAGGTGTTGTGCTAGACAGTGATCGTGATTACCGTCCGCGGGAGCGCGCGCAGCTGCTTAAAGCTGTAGCGCCCAGATTACTTACAGCTACTTCCGTGCAACTGATATAAGATGCGGTTGAAAAATAGTAACGGACAGCATTTTCTTGTTAGTAACTGTAACGGCGTTGTAACGATAGGAATAGTAATTAGTTAGATTACTCGTTACTGAAAAAAGTAACGGCGTTACTGGTCAACCATCACTGGTCAACAGTTAAAGTTGAGTGTCGAGCACTGGTAGCATCATTGGTTATATTCATTAGGTTTAAAGTCTCCATTCATTAGGTGGTTGACATCCACGAGTAAACCACTGGTGGTTGTCAGGGGGGTCACACATCCTTAACTCTGATGCAATGGTAGAGGAAACACTAAGTAATAATTTGCCTGCTGCAAGTCAAGAGGACATAATATCCCAGTGGCCATCACTTGCATATCAGAGCTAATCTCTTGCTTTTTTAGAGGTTATTTCAAAAACATTTGGTCATTTGTAAGTATTTGCAATCCCACTATTAGAATACTAAAACCCTCTTATCTCGGTTGAAAATGTTTTGCCTCTTGGATTGTTAAATTAATACTTTTCAAGGTGTTTTTTTTTTTATTTGTTCAGAATTATAGCATAACACTTTTGCAATCTTTTTCTACTCCTGTTATTTTTTGCATGAGTGGCTCCATAGTAGTAGTAGTTCACACATTCACTTAACAAGCAAAAAGTCATTCAAGAATTCAAGAAGAAAAGACACAAATCCCTTTGGGGTTGTGTCATGAAGGGCAGCTAAAGATCTGCCAAAACAAACTTGCAGAGCTCAAAGTTGCTTTTCTCTGAGTTTTTATAGATTGCTTCTGGTTTATTAATTTACAGAATAAATATGTTTCAGTCTGGACCTAAAATAAGCATACCTTGCTATTCAACAGCTTCTTAATGAAATATCATTATGTGTGTTTTTTAAAAAGAAATTATATTAAAATATTAATTTCTTTAATCTGAAATGACTTGCAGCTTTTTTCACTTGTGTGAAAATTAAGATTGGCAGAACTTTAAATTTCCAATAAAACTGGTTTTCACTGTAAACTGTTGAGCTGCAGAAAGTGGTATATGGAAGCTAGTGGCGTCTTTAGTCACTGAGAATTGTGACATTTCTGTAAGCCACCTTAAATCGACTTGCACTTAGTTTATTCTCAGCCAATTACTCTGAGTACCTGACTAAATCTATGCAACATTAATTATCCACCAGCATGCCTGACAGGTCCGTGTCGACATGGTAGCCCTGGCCTTTTAATACAGCATCAATATTCAGATCCACTGGGCTTGAATAAAATCTCATTTGAAATCACTTTATCGCAGCTGTTTAAAGACGGAAAATCATTTCTCACTCTTGTTCAACAGGCACGATTGTCTTGGGGTAATCAGCAATAAATATTCAATACTTAGTCAAGTGCCAGACAGTCAATTCATTTACCTTCTCTGCCCATCTCTCTTTAACTCAGGCTGTATTATAACTAAATTGCATTGAAAACAAAGAGGAAGTTTACCCTCTTTACTGACTGAAATCATTTTTTTCCCCCAATTTCTTTTTGTTTCATGCTACGAGATTTGAAGTGAGAAGTCTTTTGGAAATTAAGACTTCTGACCCCTTT